AAATCAACATGCCTGGAATGAAACTACTTGAAATGAAATCAAAGAGGCAGAAACTTGGTCAAAGTCCCGAAAAAAGCCTGAACTGTAGTTGTGAACATTATTGTAGGCAATTTAGAGATAGAGCTGTGTGTTGATCATACTTTACATACCACAGAGATTAGAATGTAACATCCTGCTATGTTCTTACAGGGAATGGGTCTTGTTGTTGCTCAGGCATTATCAGAGTACAATCGGTAAGTCAACTTAACACATATCTGCTTTTACAGTTTTATGAGTAGGTTCTGTCTACTGAAAAAAAATTGCTGGTGCCTGACTGTCAGTTGCTCAGGCAGCCTAATAGCAGATGAAATGCCTAAAGCTTTGATATACCATATTCCGACTGTCGTTCTTTTCTATGGTTCTGTGCTAGGCCTCACAGCAGAGGTTTGGTTTCACATGGGAGCTGACAGAATTGCCTTGGCTTTCTTTTGGTTTAATTACCACAGGGCAAACCCTTCGTAACATTTGTGAACTCTGTGTAACATCTTCTACTCCCCAGTGATATGTGACTAGGTGAATTGCTGAGTATTGGATCTGACAGAAAATCCATTTTGGTAAGGGCAGTTATGAAATAAACAAAATATCTAACCATGTAAAAACTAATAGAGGATTAGCCCCATGATTCACTTCATTTAATGTCCAGATACTAATGCTCATGTGGGGCCAGCTGCTGGAAGGGAAACACAAAGCTTCCAGCAGAATAAAGTATGTGTTAGACACAGATTGTTTTCCATTCTACAACTTTCTATAAGTTGCAATACCACAATGCAAACTCTTCTCCTGGCTTTTCATGAATGTGCTTGAAACAATTCCCCAGTGTAGAAAATGTTGTTAGTAACTCAAATGACTCATTAGCAGATGAAACAGCATTTGATCTCTCATTAGGGAGAAAGGCAGATGTTGATAGGATAAGGAAAATGAGCCAAGCTAGGCCTTTTATTATTCCTTGGGAAGGGACTGTAGCTGAAGCAATAGTTTAGGGGGTCCCACCTTTTATGTTTGTCTTCTGCAATTGAGCAGTCTTGAGTAGCAGCATAATAAAGAACTGTATATAATCCTGAAGAGTATTTTACATTGCAGATGCAAAGCTGGGATAAATGGACTATTGGTTTGATAGAGCATTTTTAAGTATTTTCTTTTATGTTGTTAGTTGCAAAGTCGTGCCTGACCCATCACGATCCCATGGACAACATTCCTCCAGGCTCTCCTGTACTTCATCATCCCTTGGAGTCCACTCAAGCTCACACCCACTGCCCCAGTGACTCCATCTAGCCATTTCATCCTCTGCCATCCCCTTCTTCTTTTGCTGTCAATTGTTCCCAGCATCAGGGTCTTCTCCAGTGAGTCTTTCCTTCTTATTAGGTGGCCAAAGTATTTGAGTTTCATCTTCAGTATCTGGCCTTCTAAAGCGCAGTCAGGGTTGATCTCCTTTAAGATTGACTGGTTTGATCTCCTTGCAGTTCAAGGAACTATCAGGAGTCTTCTCCAGCACCACAATTCAAAGGCCTCAATCCTTTGGCGCTCAGCCTTCCTTATGGTCCAGCTTTCAACTGGGAAAACCATAGCCTTGACTATACACACTTTTGTTGGCAAGGTGATATATCTGCTTTTGAATATGCTGTCTAGATTTGACATAGCTTTCCTCCTCTGGAGCAAACGTCTTTTAATTTCTTGGCTGCAGTCCCCATCTGCAGTGATCTTGGAGCCCAGGAAAATAAAATCTGTCACTACCTCCATTTCGTCCCCATCTGTTTGTCAGGAAGTGATAGGACCGTATGCCATGATCTTAGTTTTCTTAATGTTGAGTTTCAAGCCAGCTTTTGCAGTCTGCTCTTTCACCCGCATCAAGACGCTCTTTAGTTCCTCTTCACTTTCTGCCATTAGAGTGGTATCTGCATATCTGAGGTTGTGGATATTTCTCCCGGCAATCTTAATTCTAGCTTGTGATTTATCTAGCCCTGCCTTTCTCATGATGTGTTCTGCATATAAGTTAAATAGGCAGGGCAACAGTATACAGCCTTGCCAAACTCCTTTCTCAATTTTGAACCAATCAGTGGTTCCGTGTCCAGTTCTCTCTGTTGCTTCTTGACCTGCATATAGGTTTCTCAAGAGACAATAAGGTGGTCTGGTACTCCCATCTCTTTAACAACTTGCCACAATTTGTTGTGATCCACACAATCGAAGGCTTTAGTGTAGTCAGTGAAGCAGAAGTAGATGTTTTTCTGGAACTCCCTAGCTTTCTCCATGATCCAGCTTATGTTGGCAATTTGATCTCTAGTTCCTCTGCCTCTTCAAAATCCTGCCTGTACTTCTGGAGCCTAGCTTGTCGTATTTGGAGCATAACTTTGCTAGCATGTGAAATGGGTGCAGTGGTACAGTAGTTTGAACATTCTTTGGAATTGTCCTTTTTTGGGATTGGAATGTAAACTGACCTTTTCCAATCCTGTGGCTGCTGTTGAGTTTTTCAAATTTGCTGGCATATTAAGTGTAGCACTTTAACTGCATCGTCTTTTAGGATTTTGAATAGCTCAGCTGGAATACTGTCTCCTCCACTAGTTTTGTTGTTGCTCAGACTTCCTAAGGTTCATTTGACTTCACATTCTAGCACGTCTGACTCAAGGTCAGCAATCACCCCATCCTCGTTATCAGATTTTCTTTCATATCTTTCCTTAAGATAAGGCAGTATGCTTAAGAGCAGAATTTTTGCTCCTCCTGTTGCCAATAAATGTTGCTTCTCCTCTTTTCAAGCCACATCCATTCTGAGGCTCTTGTAACTTGAAAAAAATGCCAGTGTTAAAACTACATGAAACAACTTTTCCTTCCTCAGTAGTGTTGCTTATGCAAACATCCTAGTATGAAAAACAACTGTCTTGTTACATAAGTACAAGGGTACCCTCTGTTTTATTCATTTTCTTTACAGTAGTACTAGACAAAGTAAGATTTAGTAGGTTCACTCAATAAAGAGGTCAGTGATTGTGGCATACGCCGTATCATATCTTCGTGTAGGCAGGTTATTGCTGAAGTTTCCTAAACTTGAAAATGCAGGTTGAATCATAGAATAGAGTGGAAGGGACCAAGAAGGCCATCAGGTCCAACCCTCTGCTCAGTGCAAGCCTAGGTTTCAGTTTTTATTCTCCTTTTACTTGTTGTCTATGCCTCAAACTCATGGAATATATAGCCTCTCTAAATTAGGCATCATGCAGTGCTGCTACTGAGACAGAATTGGTTGGTATCTCAGTTGTAACTTATTTTTCTTTGCTTCTCTAAGACTACCAAAATAACTGTCATGGTTTAAGCTTTAATAATGTTTCTGCAGGGAAGATTATACGGATGTATTTTTCCTCATACTTGGAGATACAACAGATTAGTGGAATTAACTCATAGCTGGGGCTTGTTTGCATTTTATGACAAACTCTTGGTTTAAAAAAAGCTAGGTTGCTGTGTGTGAGTTGGGATGAGTGGGCACACTGCTAGCAGTATTCCTGTCTTTTTCACATTTACCTCACACTCCTGGGTTAGCTTCTTTACAGGTTACAGAGCATGAGATCTGAACTTGTACTAATGAGTTGTTCAGGAGTTGAGAAACCCAGCACTTAACCCAACAATAAACCATGGGTTAGTCACATCATTCTTTAGCTCCTAAACAACCCATTAGTCAGGGTTTGAATGTCACACTCCACAGCCTATAAGCAGCCTATAATAGGTCAAGCTGTCAAAGTAGAAATTCTGGGGGTGCTGCAGAGAATGTGTTTGTCTCTGCTTCTGCCCAGCAACCCAGTGGTTTGTAAGCTGAAACATCGTCAGTATATTTGGCCCAGGTTTCTGAGTTGAAATGTAATATTACTCTGGATAAGTAGTATTGGCTACTGTGGTCACTGGCCACTAACCTTAGTTATTTTTGTTTTGCCTGAAGCATCCGATCCAGCTCACTTGCTTGAGTGATCAGGGAATACACTGAACAGACACTGAAGAAGAGGGAGTTGTGCAAAATACTTACCTCTTTACTGTTCCTATTGAAAAGGACTAGACCAAACATGATGTTAAATGTGTCAGGGTGGTGGGTGGGCAGAAGCAGAATTAGGACTGTGGTCAGTGGGGTGGGAGGAATTTACCTCCCCCTATTGTGTTTGTAGAGGAGCTCCTATTCCTCATTCCTTCCAGCACAGAAGAGCAGTGGGTTGTGAAGTGGATTATACTCTGTTGAACTCAGTTTCACTGTGATTCAAATACATCTCTCCATAACCCTCAGCGGGAGATACATACAGTTTTGAAAGGGGTTATTTACACACACATTTAATATTACATTTAGTTTGGCTCAAAACATGCTCCTACTAACACAGAAAGTAGAAAAACCAAGGGTCTGGATTAGCATGGCAGTGGTCAAGTTAATGGGGCTTGTTCTGTTTGTCTTTTTGGTTCTAGTCTGTGTTCAGTATTAGTCCTCCTACAGCAGTTGATTTAAGGTGATAACATCTTGTCAAATCTGGGGCTACCATAGGGTAAGGAACCTGCATGTAGAAGGTATATCCAACATTATCTTGGGGTTATGCCTGCCACCCTGTTAGCTGCTTTCAAAATTTGCTTTTTGGGGGGCAAAAAAAGGCAACAGTTTGGTGTCTTTGCTAACCAGACCTTTTCTCATGGTAAGGCCATCTCTGGTTCTGGTCTGTTCATATATTTGTTCTGGATACTGCTGGATCATGAAGCTGGCAAAACTGCTGTTAACTGTACTATTGCTGGCTAGAGAAATGACTGACCCATTTCTTTTAGAGGAGCAGTAAGATGTCTTAGAGAGGTTTGGAGAGTTGCATAAGGCTCTGGGAATTAAAAAGAGGAAGTTTAGCCCTTTTCATTTGCTTATAACCATGGGCAGAGTCTTGTACATTTATGTCTGTAACAGAACTGTGCAGTGGATTATCAAAAGATTTAGGCAAAATAGGTAAAATACCTTTTATTGAACCAACTTAGAGCAAATTAATAGGTAAGCTTTCGGTTCTTATGGAATTTCTTACTATATTGAATTAGTTTAGTAAAAGATACGGTTGCCCACTTTGCATCTGCAATGGCAAGTACATTTTTGCTGCTCTCTTTCTTTCGTTTTGTGTCCGAGAAATTGGCCTAACCAGGAATATGGGAATGGATTGCAGGATTTTACTTTGCCCTTTCCAGTGCCCTTCTTCCCTTCCATGTTAATTCCCCTCTCAGTTCTCAGGTCAGCTTTAATTATGGACAATATAATAGTATAATTAACTATGGTATATTACACTGGCATAGTTAAATATGGTTGTCATTAACCAGCATTTGGCAACCAGCTTTAGACTTAGGTTTCAAATCTTTGTTAAGAGGGTATTCTTGTTAACATTAACCATAGTTAATGAAGCTACCTATGTCATGTTAATCATGGTAACAGTTTGCATATCTGTATGAGTGAGAGAATGGAAAGGTGACTGTGTTCTTCCTCCTGGTATCTTGATCTTGCTAAAGAATCAATAGTTTCAAATCTGCCATGACCAGGAGAGCTAGGATTCCCCTCAGTTGCTTCTCTTCCACTTTTCGTAACTGCTATACCACACAGCACAAGGATCCTTAAAATACATATTGCCAGGTTTTCTTTCTCAGCTTCTGGTCAGTTCCTGTCAGTCTTACAAACAATTAAATGTCTTCCCTGCAGTCTTCATGACTACTAATTTAAAACCAAAAGGGGTTGGATGTGGAGTTTTTTTCTTTTGTCTTAAGTACTGTTAAGAATGTTAACATAATTCTGTAGCTTAATGATTTTATTTAACTATTGCTGTCCTTCAGGCAGTACAAAGACAAGGAAGAAGAACACCAGAGTGGGTTTTTTTCAGCCTTGACCAACATGGTAAGAAATGAGTATGTGTTGCTGATCAGTGCTTGTCACATGAAGCACCCAGCTCAAAATTTGTGAAAGTAGATATACGATACCCCTAACTGTTATAATACATTAAGGCTCCAGAGAAAAATTGTCGCATCAGTTTTGTTTTGAGAATTCTAAGTAACTAATGCTGTGCAATACTTCTTCTTTCCATAGGTGGGCAGCATGTTCATAGCTGATGCTGATGCAAAAATCTCAGTTCAGTAAGTACATCCGTCAGATGGCAATTTGCTACTTTGATTTAGGAATATAACATATCATATGGTGCTGATTTGTCCTGGAACTTTCAGTTAACTTAAAGATGTATGTATATATGTATGTATTTGTAAATAACAAGGGAAGATTAGCATTAGCTCAGCAGCTGTACTGGAAATCATGACACTTAATCTGGTACATGAGTGAGTTACCAGATGCTACTGTTGCACTCTGAATTTGTTAAGGTGGAACATTATGCATTAAGAATAGAAATAAAATGGGACAAGAAGGAAGGTGGAATTGTCATATGCAGCACTTGGGTATCATTCTGGAACAGGCAACTTGTTTAACACGGATAACTACATTAAAAACTTTGTCACATTTAAACTTAACAAAGAAAAGGATTTGGTGCTTATAGAGCCTTGCTGAGTTGTGCCAGCTCCTCATGTCATTCTGAGAGGCTGAAACCAGTGAAATAACTGGATTTAATGCAGAGGACAACAAACCCACCAGGAACCAGTTGCCATGTAGTGGTTAGAATGTTCACCACAGAATCAAAAGATTTGAATTCTAGTCTTTACTTGGCCTTGAGGCTCATGGGGTGACTTTGGGCCAGCCTCTGACTCTCTACCCATCCTTTCTTGCAGAGTTGTGAGGATAAAATAGAAAGGAAAAGGATCACGTAAACCAATCTGGGTCTCTTGCAAGGGTGAAAAAGCAAGATGTAAATATAATAAGTCAATCAAATGCAGGCAGGAGTTTCTTTAGGGACTTGTGCTGTAGCAATGATGGTGGCAAAATAATTGTACTTTGCTACCACAATTGCATCCATGCAGTGTTGACCAGTGGAGCACATCAGAGTGACTGATGGTTCCTTGAGGCCTGGGAGAGCAGTATGTGGAATGTACAGAAGCCCACTGTGATCAGTTTGCCTTACCCTTGGTAGATAAAATCACACGTTTGTACTGTTTCAGATGTCGTGATTTAACATTGTCAAAGATGAATGGGCTTACGATGCCAACTTGTCGTGTTGTTTATGTATACTTCATGCTTGCGCAAGCTGTGAAAAGTAGACAAGTGGCTTGAATGGTTGAGGTTTATCACCTGCTCTCTGGATCCATACTCTTCTTGAGTAATAAAACCAGCTAGGTTGACTTAAGGGATTAGATTTCTGAAGCAATCCTCACTTTTCTGAAGAAGGCAGCTAATGCTACCTTTGTTAAAGAAATCCAGTCTGGTCCTGATACAGACACAATTCATAATGAGCTTCAAGGTAGAATTTGAAGAATCCTGACAAGCTTGAGTTTGCTGATTCATATGCCCCTGGGTATGATGTGGCATGACATTGTTTTACTTTTGCTACTTCCTTAACTCTGGGTGCAAGAGGTATAATCATGGGAGGATGCTATGTAAAAGAGCATGGAAGTGCTATATATACATGTTAAATGCTGTATTGAATGAGGGAAGACTGCAGCTGTACAAAGTGATCCTGCTGGTGCAGATGTGGGGTGAGTACCTAGTAGGGTTGGAAATACTGAGAGGAGAAACTCTGAAAGGGCTTAGATTTCACATTAATTACAAAGCTTTTGACTGGCAAGCCCAATGTGCCAAGTGATATTGAGGCAGGCATAAGTACTCCAGGAATTTACATGTATTACTGCAACATAACATTTGTATTTTGTTTTCTTTTTTTTAGAACCAATGAGGCTATTCTTTTGGCCCTTTATGAAGCTGTTCATTTGAACCGAAACTTCATCACTGTATTGGCACAGGTGATGTACAGTTTATTTTTGTATATCTGAGGTTGTGAGTGAAATCTGAATGGCAAAATGACTGTTCTAACAGAACTTGGAACTCAACATGTTTTTTGTGAAGTGTGTTACAGTTTTGTGAACTTATATGGTGATCTTACACATGGGAAAGGACTTCTGAATTTGTTAACTTAAGGAGCAAATACTCCATACTTCTTTGGCTTATTCTCTTTCCCCTTTCCTTCTGCACCTCCCTCCAAGAAAAGAAAGAAGTTGGATTTTACTGCTATAGACTTCTGAACTGGGTGGATTGCAAATGAATGTATTGTTCAAACTCCCTGAAGCAGGGTGTCATATGTCCTGATTAACTACCAAATTTGGAAAGAAGCTTAAGACTGTTTTGAATTTGTGGGATTGTTTGTACAGTGTATACATGTTATGGGTCAAGCAAGTACTATACAGAATGGCTAACCTTTTCTCCTTGAATTCTGCAACTCAGCTTGTGTAAGTGGGAAAAGACAACCTTGCAGTGTAAAGTAGCTGATCCTGGATCAAAGAAAATTCTCCCTCAGTTTGGCCAGGAACAGCAGAGGTTGTATCCAGACTGCTCCATACTACATCCTCCTCCTAAAGACTTTTGAACATAGTTTTCAGTCTTCATATGTCTGTTTTCTTTTCCTACCTGAAATCTTCTTTCTCAGTGCAGTTAAAGGCTACTTCTATGATTGGCATTTGTATTCATTACTACTTGCTTTGTTGGCTTTGCCATTTTTTTTGTGCAGTGTGGTTTTATTTTTTGTTATACTGTAACTGACTACAGAAAAGTGAGTTCTTATTATTCTGCCTGTTAGCATGCCTCTGTTCCATGCTAATCTTTTGAAGTCCTAAATGTACCAAATTAATCCTAATAATAAGCCTGACATACAGAGTGGGGGTACTTGCATCTGTGTTTAATGTTCAACGCATAGCTAAAATGTGGGTTATTCCGTATTGCTTTGAGTAGCTTTGTTCAGTTTGTGTTTGTGTTTCATAGGCTGAAGACTACAGAGCAAAGCTAAATAGGGTTTTAATTTGGTTTAAAAGATTTTCATTGAGCTATACAGAAGCTGCCATAGTTTGCACAAAATTATATTGGAACTTATGTTTCAGAAATACTGTGCCAGTCACTTGCTGCTAGGTGGTGCTGTTATTCCTTGCCTGGTACAGGAGATATGAATGCCACTATATCAAAATTCAAGGTTTGTTTCATGGAAATAAGTTGTTTGCCAGTAACTTGGTAATATTTTCAACAGACAGTTTTTTTTCCAAAGCTTGCCTGAGAGATTGGTTTCAAAAACTGATTATACAACAGTTGGCCATGTAATCTTTTACAAGATAACCCTGATAAGAGTCCATTAATAAACCAGGCTTACTAGCTACCTGTCATTGCAAGTCCTTGTATGAACTTCCATGCAATGGTGTACAGTTAAAAGCAGATTGATAGTTTTAGAACGTATTTCAAATCATTGCACTGCTTGTTGCTGAGAGAACATTTGGAGGTGCGTTAATGTGAAAGGCATTCTGTAAATCAGACTTCATTACTTCACTGCTGGATAGAAAATAGAATAGTACGCTGATCTGAAATCTTGTCTGTTCCCATGGATGAGAGTGACACAAATGGAACCCTACTGAGAATAAAGTTAATTCAGAAATTAGATGGGGAGCTGCTGGCAGAGAAGAAATGTGGGGAAGAATTAGTGGAAGAAGGAAGGGAGAACCAGCAACAGTAATATTATTTACATAGCTCTGTCCTATCCCAAAGCACTGGGTTAAGCAGTGGGGTGCCAAAATGATGCATTGACTTGCTCTTTAAGCCAAAATATGTTGAGAGAGGGAATATAAGGACGAGGAGAGTATTGCTTTCACAGCAACTGTCTCTTTCCAAAGGAAGAAGATTATTTAAGAGGCATGCTTTGCATTATTTTCCATATGCATTGAAGCAAAATTATGGATTTCTATGGGGATCAGGTAATGCAGGAGAATACCCACAATCCTATTCATGGGATGTGGGTAGACCAATTGGTATATAATCTAGTTCAGGCTACATGAAATATAATTGATACGCATGTGTTTGATTTCTAGAGTCATCCTGAAATTGGTTTGGTGACCATGCCAGTAAGCCCAGTTCCAACAACTCCAGTCACTCCACTTGGGACCACACCACCTTCTTCTGATGGTGAGCTGTTCTACCTACTCCTTGGTTCCCTGTGACACATCTGGTCAAGGTAGCAACTGGCCACTCAATTCAGAGAAGACATAAGACTCCAAAGTTTAATGCTAAGATTTTCAGTTGCACCTTGGACCGTACCAAGGTCTAGTAAGCATGAAATGCTGCATGATGGTGTCATGCAACTCAGTCATAAACTGGCCCCAGATGAAAATTTCCCTGTGACTGTTTTTGTGATATGGGAATTAGCTTCTTTTAGGCAGGAAGCCGTATACATTTTGCTGTGCAAATTTGTAGATAGTTATCATAGAGAAAATAGGACCTATTGCATAGTTTCCCTGTGTGCTGACTGCTTTATGCAGCATAAATGGTTTAATGGAAGTATGTGATGGGTTTGAATACAGCTCAGTTTCTAACAGTCTCAGAGTGGGAGCTGTGTATTTCGTCGTCTTGCAGCTTCTATTCAGGTCACTCTCATATTGTAGCAGAAGAGTATTCTTTTCTGGGAGGATAAATTCTTCTAGGTTGCCATGGATATCAAAAGCCTCAGTTTTAAAAAAATTATGTCTTTTACTTCTCTGCGTATGTATTCTATATGATACTGAGGGCTGGGAGCTGCTTAGGCTTCTGTCAGATCGTTCATTGCAAATGTATCCACCCACACACTTCTTTTTAATACAGTGGGCAAAATGTGTGCTTACCTTCATCTTTGTCTCCTCTTTCATGCTTTTTAATTTAACTAGAGAGACCCCGATTTTTGTAGACAGACTTAGTGAGCACCTTTTGCTTGTTGTTGGTATGTTGATTAATGTTACTAGAGGATTTTTTAATTGGACCTGCATCAGTAAAGTTCTTTGTTCCCTTATATTTTTCATCTGTCGGCTGCCCTCTTGATGATCCAATCCATGAGTCTACTTTTTATTTTAGCTGCTTTTTTTAAGGCATGCAAGGACTACTCTTCTCTTCCCTACAGACTCCTTCACAAAGACCTGTCGATCTGGTAATAAAATGTTATACTGGCTCATTTCACCTTCAGAGCAAAAGGGCACTTTTACCTCCTGAAATAAATTAGTTGAGACCCTTTACATATGGTTTTTGGTGCTTTCCCAGCTGTTGGAGTTTCTAAGCATGCTTAAGGCCTGAAACCAGTTCCTGTGCATCTTGCTTGCAATATGGATTAAATACCCCTTTAAAGTTTCAAAATAAATAATTGTTTCTGTCGTGAAAGAGTCAAAGTGGTAAGAGTTGCGCTATGGTAAGTTGTAACTTCCCATACGGAGATTTAAAAGAAAGAAAAAGACCCACATTTTCCTGTTGTTGCATGAACTGTGTTTAAGGTGCCTGTCACCATGGTATCTTAAGTGCTGATTTTCTTCACTGCTGTTAAATATTCATTCCTGATGTGCATTGTAGCAGGTCCAGAAGGACCCATTATAGCTGTTGAATACATATTAGATAAATTTCCTGAGTGGATTAGGGCTACTGCAAGAAGGTTGTGTATTTATGATGATGGTGTGTGCTGCTGAGCTGTGGACCCTGTTAATAGTGAGCTTTGGGAACCGCCTTTCCTGTTAGATATATAGAGAGGAGTGGCACGCAGAAGAGAAGTCAGTCCAGTAGTGAATTTCAAGTGGTCTTATTATGGCTAGGGTATCTTTTGGGCCACAGAAGTAAAGGCAGCAAAATATATGCAAGCCATGCAATGTGGGTTTTTTTTGTCATTATGTTTTAAGGATATGGTTCCTAACTCCTGTGGTTTCCTCTTCTAGAAAAGTTTTTCCCCTAAATAAAAGGCACATAAGACTTGCTGTACTAGTTGATCATTAAATGGAAGTGAAAAGCTAACATTAGATGGAAGTGAAAAGCTGAAAAATATGGGTTTTGAAGCTGACAGAAGCTGTTAATGACCAAAGAAATGTTCATCCTTTTTCGGAGCAATGAAATTGAGAGAAAGAAAAAGATTATTTTACTTGTGTCCCATAGCTGAATGCCAACCTTTAAGGGGTAATGAAATACCTGTATGGATATTGTAAGAAAGGGAACCAGTGAAGAATATGATAATCCTGATGAACAGAGTTTGTTTCAACTGCTTGGTTCAATGATCTGGTTTTCTCAGAACAGACCAGTTGGGAACAGAAAGTATGTGCTCGTGAAGTTTTTAAGTTAGAGTCTTTAGTTAGGGCCAGAACCTGGAATGTAGGGTATCTGGCAGGATGGCAAAGGCACTACAAATATGGAATATTTCTTCAGTAGTGGATGGCCTTATTTCATAGCAGACTGTAAGTATGTGTGCGGTTGTTGAATTAATTTACCTTAATTCTTCTTGGGGCATGACTTGGTTATCTTTACTGTGACACTGCCTGGCATTACAAACATTTAGGAAGATAAAGAGAAATTCCTGTAAGATTTCATCCTGCTATAACAGAGGTATCATCCTTATAGGAGGGTTTTCAAAACTACTGTATGCTGGTAGCTGAGCAAATCTAATCTGCCCTTTTCTAGTGATAAACACTGTGGAGCTGCCTTTGGATGCTGATGTGCAGACCAGCAATCTTCTGATAACATTTTTAAAGTACAGCTCAATCATCATGCAAGACACCAAAGGTAAACAGTTGCGTTCACGCAGCTTTATGTTCCTGAAAATTGTTAGAAGAGTGGGGAAAAGGATGTTGGTAGTTGGACTGCATGCCAAAATCTATCTGGACTCTAAATGGAGGTGAAAGTTCTTTTGAGAGAATGAACTGTTTTATCACCGCCAGATGTCATTTAATGGAGACTAGGAGTCCTGATGCTGAAAGGGAAAAAAACCAAATACAGAAGTAGAGAAAGTATAGTTCATAATATCCAGAAAATCTCTGTGTGTCCTCTCTAGGAGGCAAAGCAGATTCATTTTTCTAACATAGGGGTGGAGTAAAGAAAGGAGAGTTTGTTCCATGACATCTTCTGAAAAGGACTGAAGAAATAACTGTAGTTGCTGTTGTTTTTCTACCAACGTAATATCGTTCACTCCCTTTTAATTTTTTGTTGCAGTTAGGGGTATGCACAAAGGCACAATAGAATAGTTCTCTATCTTTCTTGTCCCTTGTAAAAGCAAGTTCTACATGGGCTCTTAAAATTCAGTGAAATGCATCTTCTGAGAGAGAACTTTCATTTCACTTCCTCTGATTAGAAGTTATATTAAATATATATTTTTAATTTTTTGCTTTAAATGGGAATGTAACTGGAAGCCCCAGCCTTGAATTTGTAATAGCTCAGCTGGACTGTCATCTGTAGGACATTTTGCAGGGCTTTCATTCCTAGGGTTGTTGTATATGATGTGATGGCAAATAGCAACAAAACTAGTGATGCAAGTGACATCTTGTTTTTCTTTTGTAGTTGATTAGAAGGGCTGAATGACGGATGTCAGGGCTGGAGTGTACTGCCATAGTGCTCACCTGCTGCTCTGGTTTTATTTGATTGCTTTGCTGTTGATGATTAGGCCGTTTTTTCAGATGCTTACTATGGCTAACATTTTATAAATCCCACCACCCTCAGATTGCTGTCCCCTGTGTATTAATGTTCCCTAGTGCCCCTTCTGTGTTGCTTGAAACAGAGAAGAAACAAGCTCTAGTTAGGTGCCTAACTGCATAGAACTGGCTTGAGAGCAGAAGTTCCTTGCTTGTCACTCCTCATCTGTTACCTAGGACCAAAACTGGCACCTGTCTCAAGAGAGCTGTGCCATTTTTATAATGCACTTAGGGCTTGTGAAGAATAGTAGGCTGTAGGCTGTTTCAGTGCCAAAGCACAAAACATTGATTTGTGTGCTGCAGTTTCATAGCCAGTGATGTACTGTTGAATATAGTGTGGCACTTGTAATATGAGCAATCTAAAGCTCAAAACTTAGCACTGAGCAGCAGTGCTTGCCATGTAATCCAGAAGGAGGAGGCATGTCTGAGCAGCCCCTGAGTAATAAGCGGCAATCTCTTGCGGTGAAAAGATAACAGAGCTCCAGAGTATTAAGGGTTCCTTCCTCTGCCTTTCTGGAAAATAAACTTTTAGTCTGTTTTTAAATTGTCATTAAATAAACCTAGGTGTATTATCTGTATTCAACTATACCCCATGTAGTTGTGTTGTATGTCACTGTTGCTTATATGTACACATGAAGCTGGTTCAGATGTTACAATAAACACAATCATCCCATAGATGATAATCCAAAAACAATAAACCATGGTTTATTGTGACAGAAATGAACTGCAGTGAGTCTCCCTCCTTCCCCAGTATAGCCATGAGGGAAATGGATGCTTTTGCTTTTACTTTTGATGAGCCACAGTTTAGTATTGCATCTGAATCTGACAAACTATGGTTAATCTTAACTATGAACTGTTTCAAACAAACCAACTTCAAATCATGGGAAGTGCTTTTGCCGAGTACAGCTTCAGGTGTAATGAGATAGTTCTAATCTGTTGGGGAACTGTGGTTAATAACTTCCAAAGAAGTCAAGATTTGGAGGCCAGCTTTAAACCTCACCTGGCTTGTTGAAAAGCTATTAGGCTCAGATTTCCTGTATGACTATAACAGAAAACTATGGTTAACTGCAGCTTCCTGACTTCTTTCCCCACTTGCTTAAAAGTGGGACTTGCAGCAAAAGAGCTGTTTGTAGGTATGTGAAGCTTGAACACACCATATCTTATTCAGCCAATATTTGATTGTTTGAACCAAGCCATTGTGGGTTAAGAGCTTGTTCCACTGTCTGAGAAGCAGTAGCATTTTACTGCTACTTCTGGATTAGTATAAATTTTACAAAAAGCAATATCTCTGCAGTAATAGTCTAATGGTTTTATCCCATAGATGATAATTCAAAAACAGTGGAAAATACTATTAAAGATGCTAAAAGAGGGGAAAGTACTAAACCATTCCCAATAAAGCAAAAGCCTTGTTATATGTACCTGGGGTCTTATATTTTCTCAATATATAGGTTAAAAGCTTTGAGCCTGTAGATCAGGAGCTATTGGTGCCTTACCTCATGGTCTGTTGTTCTGCCTATGATGTACTGTGCTTTTTGATCCATATATTGACCCTTTGGTATATCAAGGTTTAGTAGCTCATGTGGGACCTGTTGTTGTTCATTGGCAGATGAACACCGACTCCACAGTGGCAAGCTCTGTCTGATTATTCTGACCTGCATAGCAGAGGTAAGTCCCGCTGCTCATGTCTTCTGTCTCATTAGCACATGCATTAGCCTCTAGCCTATGGCCTGCTACTGTGTTTACATTCCTTAACCTTCTTTCTTCTGGAAGCTGAATTATAACAATTGCAGTTCAGAGAGTTAACTATTTGCTCAGATTTTGGCTTACCAAGAACATCCTCCACTGCCCTCTATCCACTACTTTTTCTGATACAGAATATTTAGTATAGCATATGTGGGAGATAACTTACACCAGCCTTCTGTAATCCTTCATGCCCAGACTACAAAAGCCTACAAGCCCAGTCAGTGTATTGATATATGTTGGATTTAAGTGTGCAGACTGAGCATGATGGGACCTTTAGTCCAACAAATCTCAAGGACACCTGGTTGGGGAAAACTGATTTGGCATATCTGTGCATCCTCCCCCCCCCCCCCAATGGACTTCTACAGCAAGGAGGAGGCAGGTTGTTGAAGTCAGACAAAACTGTAATAACTCCAGTAAGCCACCCTAAGGCTTTGCTCATCCAGGATGAGCAAAAGGAAGCAGAAACAAGTGGGAAGAAGTGTATAGTGCTTTACCAATAACCCCCTTTTTTGACCTGGGATATTCAGCTAGATGGAGAATCCATTTGAAAACATCTGTCAGAACTAGTGGTTATCTATAGATTCATGAATGAGTGCTGTCTTTCAATACTGGTTTGAAGTTAAAAGAGTGTAACCATACTTATTCTAGTGTTACCTGTTACTTTTTCTATAGGATCAGTATGCAAATGCTTTCCTGCATGATGACAACATGAATTTTCGGGTAAACCTTCACAGAATGGTGAGTTTTCATCATTTATAACCCTTCTGTTTTATGCTATGATGGACTCATCAATTAACTACTTAGGTCATCTCCATCTTTGTCTCTCCCCACACCCCTTTCTCCTTCTGCTTTTTTTGTCAATCCAGACAGATAAGTGCTTTGACATTAGTCTTGTGTGGTATTATTAGGACATATTTGTAATCTTAATTGCCATTTAATATATGTGAAATAAACAAGGTAGCTAAATAGAATTTTGAAAGGTAATTTTAATGCTGTAGATCACCATAAATTAATACTGAAGAGACTCAGATTAGCTGCGCTGCATATATATACCTGCTACCGTATCAAACATTTTTTGCCCATGAACTAAACTTGAACAAATCTAGAAGTAAATAGCATGTTTGATCTGTGCATATATGGATTTCTGAAACGGTGGAGTAGCAGGTTTAAACTACATAATAGTTGATTAATCTGGACTATATTCTAGGATATAATAATGGTTTTAAGTATGCAATAGCACAAATACTCATTCTTGTAGGCTGCTTCTTGAGTCCTGATTTAAGGATTTGTATGAAGACTTGCCTGCCTGGTGTGTCTTATGGTGATATCCACAATGTTGGATTTTTATCTTGATTTTGAACTACTAAAGTTCTCAAAGCCGGAGAAGAGTTTTAAGAAAGCATATGAACTTTGCATTCTGCCAACAAACTGCCTTAGAAAACTGCAGAAACCTGAAATGAAATGAGTTGTAAAACCAGAGAAATTTAAAACTGCTCTATCTCGGTCAATTAGTTTTTCCTTTCTTCCTTTCCTCCCCCTGCCCCAGTTCTGCCACGTCTGGTACAAGCTTGGTAATCTCACAGCCACCAACAGAAGCTCAAACAATAGAATAATTAGAATTAGGCATTTCTGAATATTTAACCTCCTCATTGTCCATGGGTAACTTTTTAGAGAATGTTCTCCAGCTAATTATCAGCCAAGGATCTCACTCCTGGGAGTTACTCTGGGTAGAAACTGTTATAACACAGGAGGGTTTTCTCCCTTCTTAGCAATTAGATGTGATCTGATATCAGAAAAACCAAAAGATAAATCTACACATCTGCTTCTTAAAAGAAAAAATGGGCAAACATTTACAGAAAGGGTGCTTCTAGTGAAATTGCATAATCCTATTTTACAAGTTCATGAAAAATGATATACAGTAAAATAAATAAATGCTCCTTCTCTCCATATATACTCTACAAGGCCTTAGTGTCCTGGTCCTTAGCATTACCAGAATGTTTTCATGTGTCTTGAGGAATTTTTATAGTGTGTTGATCTTGGAGTCCTTATCTTGATAGTGCTTCTTGCATTGGGTGTATCCCCTCTAAAGATCTCTCTCTGCTTCATATCCCCTTTCTGGATCTCACCTGTAATTTGTTAGAGGGTTGCAATGTATTTTTTCCCTTTAAAAGTCCAGTGTGGGTTTTTCTAATATGGTGCTTAGCCCTGTTTTTTTTTTAAATCCAAACCATAGAGCAGCTGGGAGTGGTGTGCAGCACTGAATCAGGCTCCAGCTTGTGCTCTCACGTTAATTTCCCCAGAGTGTTTCTGGGACCATGTGTCCTTCCATTTAGTCCCAGAAGTAGACTAAAAAAGTCAAGATGGTGAAGCGAGTGCAGTCTGGGCTAGTGTTGTGCATTCCAGGGTACCCAGTTGTCCTGGAAAAATTAAAAAGAAAAGGGAGCCTTTTCCCAGCAGAATCAGGTAAGGTATCAGGTGGAGAGCCTAGAGAGAAATGTAGAGGTGGAGAGGGCAGCAGAAGAACATCAGGGAGCTTCACAGGATAAGGGATTGATGAGGAGGCATGGAGAGGCAGGGAAGTTTGAGAGCTACACAGGGCTTGTGGAACACAGTGGAAAGTAATGAAGGATTGAGAAGTGACTGACAGCTAGTTGGGTTAGAGTGGGAGGCTGTCTGGGTTAAGCATCCCTCCAGACTTGAAGGTGACTCAGGCAGGTGCATCATAAAGCAGATGTTTTGGCTCCAGTTGTTCTGGGGACCTTCGGCCTCTGCAGCATTGACTGAACCACACCAGTTATGTTGCAGAATATCAAACATTTCTACAGAAGTTCTGTATTTACATTATATTGCATAGTTGGTCCTGAAACCTAACGATCCAGTTTGCACAGTTTGCATAAGTGATGTTTCCTCAGGACCCCATCTTCATTTATTGTCTTTTGGCCTGCAGTTTGTTTATTGAGACATATGAACAGGGATCTGTGGCTTATCTCTCTCATCAGGAATAAGCCATGGGTTGTTTGTTGACTTCTTCGTGAGAGAGGCCTAAGCCACATGTGTTTTTCCTCATGTGTCTTGATGACCAAACCATAGATCAAAGCATGCTGCCTCATTCATGCTAGGCGAGAATTGTTTAGGATTTTGATTTATTATGTTTTGGCTGTGAATACAGCCAATAATTTGGGAGGAATCTACAGATTTACCTCTTTTTGATGTCATTCAGACATAATGTCAAACTATGGCAAGTCCAAGACTGGTTCTTCTTGTAAGTTTCCTCTTTGTATTAGAATTACCTTCCTCTGAACATGGAGTTCAGCAAATTAAAGCTTTGCTTACTGTTTCATCCAGCTTGCCAAACTGTGGTCAAGTGCAGCCAGTGATTGGGGCTGTGTTTGAACCAGTCCTTTGTAGAATAAGATCAGCCTTTTTCAGTGCAGTAAATGCACTCTATAAGCAATGGTGTCTCACATTGTTTTAGAAGATCATTCTGGGAGGCTTTTTCCTTTGAGATTCCTGTCTCAATCAGACATGTACCCCATGAGTCAGTTTAGTGATACTTGAAACATTGTAATGGCCAATGGTCAAGAAGATTTTGGAAGGTGTGTAGGGCTTTTTTTAGTGAAGGTAGATCAGACCAGGAAAAGAGATCACAACTATCAGTACGGTGATCTTCCTTAATTATTCCTTAATGGACATTTGTTTAGTTGGTATTTGGGGAGGAACTAAATTTGCAGACAATGTGCTGCAAGGTGCAGTGAATTACAGGAATACTACTTTGCTTTTCTTGGGATGTGATTGGATCACACTGTTCTCATGGAAATCTTGTGATCATTTTTAATATTTGTATAGATTATACATACAGGTAGTAATCCAAAAGGCTTTTCTGCTATAGCTTCTTATTAGATAATGCCCAGTCATGGTGGATGTAGTCTGGTTGTGAAATATTCCTTTCAGCTGGGAAAGAAAGGTAATGGCAGCCAATGACTGGATAAAAATGTGTCCTCTTGGCACAGTATTCTTTCTCCAGCAGTGGCTCACTAATGTGTAGAAGAAAACCATGACTACTGCCACTTCCTCAAGTTCAGGCATTAGATCTTTGCTTACAGTCAGATATGTAAACTCAGATTGGAAAACTCTTGTTTGGGAGAGGGATAAAATCATCCCTTCTGACAGCAGATTTATATGCATGAGAACAGCTGAGATAACGCATCTTGGGTGTCATTGTCTGGCACCAACTGATTATTTCATCTCCATGTGTTTGAAGCCTATGAGACACAGGAAAAAAGCTGCTGACAAGAACCTTCCCTGTCGACCTCTGGTTTGCGCAGTGCTAGGTAAGTGTACTTGCCAGGTATGATCAGCGAAAATGGGGACTGAAGGATTGATGCAGACAAGGGACTATTTGTCAGACAATAATTTTGAAATGCATTTGATTTACCAGCGTGGCATCTTCTTGCCTCTCACCTTCCCTCCTGTTTTCTTTTGGGAAGGTGAAAAGCAAGTCTTTATAAGATGAATCCCTCTGAAACTGGCTGCAATGTAATGGAACACATTTATTCTAAAGATGCCCAGAAGAGGCATCTTCAGAGGGTCTGTTTTGTCAGCTTTTGTTAGTTGGACAATGCACCAAGATTTAACTAGTTGGAATCAGTCTTCATGTAAATATATTTAACTACCGGAGTCTGGAGACTTTAAATGAGAAGCTGAATGAACCAGTGTGGTAGACTCAATGAAAATATCTCCTTATGCTTTGACATATTGGTAGAAAAGATAGACAAATACTGGAAAATGTCCATCCTGAAATACATAGACCATATCGACAAATAGGAGTGGAGTATTTCTGGAACTGTGTGGTATCACAAACCATTATTGGCTTAACAGCTCATCAACAGTTTAAGCAGCTATTGAGATTTTGTTTGACTTTGTATGCTTTGGAATATGGTATGTATAGATACAGGCATACTTCAGAGATATTGTAGGTTTGGTTTTCAGATCACTGTAGTAAAGTGATCTGAAAATATCTCAAATGAGTCATACAAATTTTTTGGTTTCCCTGTAAAAATAAAATTTGTGTTTTCAGTATACTGTTGTCTGTTAAATGTGCATTATGTCTAAATAGCATTATGTCTAAAAGAACCTTTTAGTATTGTGTTCACTGTCCTATAAGGATGTGGTTTATGATGTCCTAAAGCAATTTCAATAGTAAACATCAAAAATCACTGATCACAGATCACCATAACAAATATAATAATGATGAAAAATTGAAATATTGTGAGAATTACCTATATGTGATGCAGTGACACAAAGTGAGCAAATGATGTTGGAAAAATGTCACTGATAGACTTGCTCCACAGGGTCACCCCAAACCTTCCATTTGTAAAAAAATGCAATATCTGTAAAGCGGAATAAAGCAAAGTATGCCTGTGAACTCAAGCAGTCAACCAGATGCTGAATTCAGCTTTAGTGGTATTCTGATCACATATTAGTGCTGACATAACATTATCCATTCCTTAAACATGCATAGGAGATCAAGAATTTTCTTGCTCTCACATGTGCAATGTTTACTCACTGCTCTTAAACATAGTATGTTATTTGCACTAATGTTTACAGTACTTAAACACTACTGGAAAAGTTTGTAACCTAGGATTTGGAACCAGGGTTGAAGCTAGCCACATTTTGGGTCCTTATAATTCTGTGGTGATTCTTCTGTCCTTTTAGATCTGATGGTGGAATTCATCATAACACACATGATGAAAGAGTTTCCCATGGATCTTTATGTGTAAGTAATAGTTGGCTGACTTGGGCCTTGAACCATTTTGAAGTATTCATCTGCACTCATACCTTTTTCTTTCTTCACTAGAATTACTTTTTCTAATACAGGGAGGGGATATGTCCAATTTCAAGGTTTCTGAGAAACTCCTCTAAGTGCCATGCTTTTGTTCAATGTGCCAGGAAATTGAAAATGAAATGAATTCACACTCTTTCTGAGAGTTTTCCTAAATTACTTAATCAACAGAATGAGAGGAAAACCCGAAGCTTTAAAGTATGTCAAAGCACTAAGTAAATATACAACAAAATAGTCTGAATGCTAGAAAATGAAAAACATATATGAAGTATTCATCAGTTCACATGTTGAAGTACAGTGTTAATAGCTTGCAAAAGGACACAAAAGAATTTGAGGTACCAATGCTTTAATGGAAGCAGGAACTTAATATAGGATTATAAGATGAGCTGTGTTGGATTGGAGCAAATGTCCTGTCTAGCTCAGTCTTGTGTTCCCACAGTTGCTTACCAGATGCTTATGGGGAGCCCAAAAACAGGGGATGAATGCAATAGCACCATATTCCTCAGCTACTGAGATTCAGAGGCATATGATTTCTGATAGCAGAGGTAGTATATAGCCTTAATTATTAGTAGCTTTTCATAGTTTTATCCTCCATGAGTTACTTGTCTCCACTTCACATTTCCTGGCTTAGAAGAACTATGTGCCAGATGCAATTCTTGAGATGCTGTTTAATAGAAAAATTCATAGCAAATTTCTTGTGAAGCATATTTTTCAAAGACGTAAGCCTGTTTGGATGTTATCCCTATGAAGTCCTTGTGTATTGAGAGAGATTGTCAGTTCTAATAATGCTGAATTGACAGGGAAATTCCTGTGTATAGGAAATATACAAGACTTCCTTATTAATTTCTTTAATAGATCAAATATGATGTGTATGGTTAGAGTTGCACTGTAGGTGGTAAAACTGCAGATCTGTGTGTGTCATCACAGCTATCCACATCTGTACACAGTTTCCTGAGATTAGCTGCCTATTGAATGTGTGCCATTGCTCCCTTAATGTACATTATAATTATATGCTACTTATTACATTGGGCTTCTTTCTCTCTTTTCTCCAGACGCTGCATTCAAATAGTACACAAACTGCTTTGCTACCAGAAGAAATGCCGAGTGAGGCTTCATTACACTTGGAGGGAGCTCTGGTCAGGTAAATTCTTGGTTTTACTTAATCTTTAGCAGAAATCTATCATTCACATCTCTTCCTAAAATTGAAGATACTTCTAGAATCAGCTTCATTACATACATTTAGTTAGTGCATAGCTCATTAATACAACCCTGCGATATCTTATGATAATTTCACAAGGAAGTATAATGTGCAGGGAGAAAGGAAGGGAAGAGGAAGCTTTTAAAATCCAGCCTTATTAACGATTTTCTTTTTATTGAGTTTCCTTCATACAAAAGAAGCTCCTTTGCAAAATCTACTTTGATGGCTTTTCCATTTTAGAGTAAAATTAGATGTGACCTTCAGCATGGGGCTGCCACTTTCTGTGGCAACTTTATTCTGAGTTTTCCCTGTTATCCCTCTAACTTTCAACCACATTGTTGAGATGGTGAAAGGCAAGGAAAGCAGCACATGAAATGTTAAGAAAGAGCAGGAATGGAGGAAACATGTATCAGGCTAGTATTTTAGTGGCAGCTGTCTCAAATATCATGCCTACTTTTGCCCTGAATGATTTAAAATGAGATTGGGCATAGCAGTACAATTGTTAGTCTGAGCCTGTATTTTGTCTGTAGAGAATGAAGCACACTGAAGTTGAAGGTTTTCTATTCACTTGGTTCTCCCACTTCCAGGGGCGGAACAGCAACACAGAAGCAGAAAGTTTTGAATCTTATTACTATTATTGCTACTACTATTCTTTATTTCTATACTACCCCGCAGCTGAAGCTCTCCAATTGCTAACTAATCACTCCCTCTCCAGAAAAGCTTTGATAAAGGCTTTATGGAAAGGCCCCAGTGTCCTTTGTTATGTGTAATAGCCTGGTTTATTCAATGAAATGCTTCTGGAAGGGTTATTGGGAAACTGTCTTGAACGGTTCAAGGGTGCTTATAGTTGGCTAGGAGTCCTTTGGGGCTAAATTCAGTTAGGCAAAAGTGCTGCACGTTGTCTGACTTCATATTGCTTTTTGTGCTATGTGGCACTTCTGGGTTTTCTAAATGCATCTTCGTATAGGGGGTGATGTTAATTCATTCATAGACCTGCACAAGATCTTTGTCCTGTTTGCCTTTACCACTGCGGAGGCTGCAGCAACATTATGGAAGTTGCATGACTGCTGCTTTCAAATCCTTTTCCTTCACTCCTCATTTAGTAATGTCATCAGCTGCCACTTTGTATAGTGGGGGAACTTTCAATGCAAAAATGTCAATCACACTTTTCATATTTCAAAGTGTGACTGAAGAAGGGGAGGAGATGTCAGCCTCCTGGATTTTGATGAAAGCCATGCAGTTGCTGTAATGTCTTGTTCCAGCCTGAATCCCAGAGGGAATGTTCATCTTACAGAACTGGTGTGTAGAGAGTGTGGAATTGTGAAGTGACAGGACTTATCCTACAGAATAGTAATGGGAACTGTACCTAGTCATGCTGGTTATGGTCTTTCTGCTGCTCATCATTCTTAAAATTCACACTGGTTTTCTGTATAAAGCTGGATGTGAACATTGGTTGAATCAGTCAAATCTAGAACTATGACTGCACTATATCAGCAATTGCGAACTATGGTTTTATCATATGTACAAGACATTGTCTCTGCTGTGTGAGATTTTCAGTTCATCAAGCTTCATCTTGTTGACACTAGTTGAAAATGGCTGTCCAGGATTTCAGACAGGAATATTTTCTAACCTGCCCTGGAGATGCCAGAAATTGAGCCTGGAACATTCTACATGAGAAACATATACCTTTTCTTTGCCTTCTTTCCTTTTTCATGTGGACTTTCCTGCTTATTTGGTTTCTTTCATAGATGTTTATATATAGAAGTTTGAGTGGTGGCTGGATGTATGTAAGATTCATAAAAGAATCTATAATTTTTAATTGGGTGGAACTTTAACAGAGGACTTGAAACTGCCAAAACTATGTTGGAGGGAACTAGTTCGCAGAGGCTGGAAAGTTGAAAGAGGACAAAAACTGATTGCTTGGTTGACAAGTAAGTGCTAAAATTATTAAAATGTACATTAATGTACAAAATGTACATGTATGGGTGCCTACCAAGCTGGAATTTTTTTATGGAAAATTTGTGTGAATTAATGAAATTCTTTTCCTTTTTTGTCTGTTATTCAGCTAGTTCCTCAAAGCAATCATTTCATCCTTTCCCTTGGCAGGTTGCTCTACAGTCTACTGAGTGTCATTCTTGTTTTCCTTTCAATTGTGATGTACTGTACCTTTATTAAAATTTAATCTTACTGCCCTCTAAAATGCTCACTGTGGCATCACTTTGCTTGATTTACTAATTAGCTGGTTTAAGAAATACAAGATGTGTTCTGAGAAAGGCTGTAAGTTTAGGTCTTGAATGCTTTAGAAACATTTAAAAAGTTGTTTGCTTTTTAATTAATTGAAAATACTGTTCAATAAATAGAATTATTGAATATCCTAGGAACAAGAGCAGGGGCAGCATATTCCAAGATAGCCAAGAAAAAAGTTCCAGTGTGCTATTGTGGTTAGAGTGCTGGACCTGGGAGATCTGGCTTCTAGTCCCCTCCCAGCCATGAAGTCCAGTGGATGATTTTGGGCCATGCACTCACTCTCAGCTTAACCTACCACACAGGGTGGTTGTTCTGGAAAATGGAGTTAAAATGAAGAGGACTATGTAATAGGGTTCCTCTCAAGAGGAACAAGGTGAAATTTAAATGGAATATCATCGTCGTCATCATCACTATCAAGGGATAGTTCAGACCCAAAAAAGACACAAACCAGTCTAGAACAATTAAACTATTGTAACTGAGAAAAGAAGCTGCTAGAGTAACATTTCCTAAGAAAATCTTAAATGTGCATATGGATGTTTATGTGCATACACTGTGAAGGTTACTTGACTCATAAGTTGGGAGAGCAGAGGATCCACAGAACAATTCTTACCTTTCAATATTAATTTCTGAATTATATTCACACTATGGAAGAAAGGAATAATGCCTGTACATGGTGGCACCTTACTGTCCTTTGTTAATCTTGACAATTCTTACTAATGGTTTTTCATATTTTCATCTATTTTTTTATGGACCCTTACTTGGTTTTGATCTGCTTATGCAATATGCAATACTATGATTGCATGACTTGTTCTGTTCTCATATGCTCTTTTGTCAGTAAATCAGCAGGTGATAGAGGTTATCATTGGAATATTCACATATCACAACATCCCATCCTGCAAATAGACTGCATAGTGTGGGTCATTTGTGAAACAACCCACAGTGCTTGTTGCAGATGGTGGGGCTCACAATGGATTGGCCCCCAGTTTCCCCCTCAGTCCTTCTACAGGGATCCCAGGGGATTTCTGTCTTGTTGCCAGCTGTGAGCCCTTTTGTACTTTCTATGGCTTTCCCCACTTTTTTTTTTCCTGGGGATCGCATTTGCTTTTCCAAAGTAACAACCACTGATAGCCCCTCCAAAGTGCTCAAGCAACACATTTGAGCGTCTGTTACTGGTTCACCATTTATCTTTGTGTGTGTGTGTGCCCCAAATGATGTGCACAAATATATCATATTTTTAAACACACGTGTGTATATGCACATTATTTTTTCCAGTATTTTACAAGTATGCAATTGTGCACTTCCAGGTGACCAAAATGAAACACTTTGCTTTGTCAGAATTTCTGAAGGTATATCCAGGAAAACTAGTGAAACAATGCAGATTTATTTTTACATTTACCCTCTCTCAAGAGCTGAACAATCAAGAAAAATAAACCCATGAGTTATCTTTGCTATCTCCTTTTGTGGTTAAGTTATTCAGCTTTTTTTTTGCGGTGCGGGGAATGAACCTGACTCTTCCAGGCGTCTTAGCACTTTTCCAACTTTTCCTGGGGCTTTAAATGCTCAGGAAATTGGAAATGTGTGAACCATTCCACTTTATGAGAGTACAGAACTTTGACAGGTAGCTGGCAAAAATCACACTTTCTTTTAAACAGGGTGATTGGCAGTGGTAGAACTGTTAAACAAATGATAAAACACTCTGGGTAGCAATGTAGAAAACCTATGACTGAACTAGTGATGGTTCCTCAAATTGCTGCTGAGCACTTCCTGGATTAGCTGTAAGTGATGGTGACCTGGGCACCTTGGCTAGCATGTCTAGGACTTTTTCCCCCCTTCTTGCTAAGTGGCTTGCTTGCTGCTTCCCTGAACTCATGGTGAGGTTCATCACCTCTGAACTGACAATACAACAGCCCATAGTGAATACAACAACCTCCAGTACAAACCATGGGTTGTAAGGGTGGCCTGGTAGACTTCTTTTGCAAAGCAAAAGTTTAAAAAAAGGATGAATAAATACATCACCACAGAAACCATTCTTGATTGCTTGTATCTAAATTGAAAGGATCAGATTCACATTAGGGGAATCTCAGCAGAGGTTCCATTGTGTACTGCTCCTCCAATGCCCTGATCACATGTATGGTATAAGTTAATGTTTGGTGTCTGTACCAGACTGAAATGGAAAAAAACAATAGAAAGCAACAACTGTGGACCAATGTGGTAGTGCCAGTTGTAGTAGTCAATGGCATGAGGCGCCTCATATGTTGTGTTCACTTTGGGACATCCTATGTGATGAAAGCTATTAACAAAACTTTAACAGTTTCAGTGGCTTTTACAGAAGTCCTTTATGTTGGCTATTCTTTTTCTTTTCTGTTTTAGGAGACATTGGGCATCCTAGCCCTTTGCAGCTTATATGCAGCATTCAAGTGGCAGATGGGTGTGTCCATTTCCTCTAGCCACATGCAACTCACAGCATTCCTGCCTGTGGTGTTGAGTGACTGGCTACATCTCTACTTTTGTTTGTAGGACCTGCTTATATTGTTTTTCAGTGTATTTTCCAGCTCCCTTTTGGCAAAATCACTTTGCTTTCTTGATTGATTGACAGTGAGCCTGCCAGTGCGAGCAGTGTCCCTTGGTAATTGCCTGCCATGTCCATGAATTCTGGGGTAGGTCGTGCCTCAGGGATGTTTGATGCATTCATTTGT